TTTTCTTTTGCTATAGGTTGCGTGCGCTTGCCAGAAAGAGAGAGACAGAAAGCAAGAAATCACCCCCCAGGGGGGATGGCCATGCCGCAATCCCTTTTTCTCCATTCTCGTCTCAGGATCTTGGGCACGCACGCACACGCGCCCGGCATGAGTTTAAGCCACCGAGTCCAGGACTCAAACACGGTCGACCACATGGGAGTCCAGCGACATAGCCATTACGCTAACTGCTAGTCCCAATTTGTAAGTCTTTTAATGTATGGCTTAATAAAAAGTTGAATTCTTATCTGCCCCTGCGTTTAATCTGTTGTACAATCACCCTCATAAGTAAACACTGCTTACTCATGAGAGAAGGAGAATAAAAATGAAAAATAAAGTAACATTATGGCTTTATGAGTGAGATAGTTCTGACCTCAGGTATCTCTTGAGTCTTGGAGACCCCAGGGTTTCACAAATTATGCTTTGAGAGCTGTTGGTATGACATAATGATATTAAAAGTTAACATAATTTTCATTTATTTTTTGCAGTGCATTTACAGATAGAGCATCTTAGACTACTTTAAAAAGTTATAGTGGTGGTACCAGTAGGTGGTGTGGTGGTTAGGACGCCGGACACTCCCACATGGCCAACCACAGTTCAGGTCCCGGACCTGGTGGCTTGCTTTCTTACTTTCCCTTTCTCTCTTTCTCTCTCTGTGTGTCTTTGCTGTTCAAATTAAAATAAATGAATGAATAAATACAATTAAATTAATAATTCTTTTTTAAAAGTTATGGTGAAATGCAGTTCTTCCACTTTTTTTTAATGTCAGAAAGTACATAAAAGACGAGAAAGAGAGAGAGAGAGAGAGCGAGCATGCATTGTGCAATTGGCATGCACTCCCTAATGGGGGGCCTAGTCATCTGACAGGCCTTCTTCCTCCAATTCTCTATTAGGATCCTGGGCGCACCCAACGCAAAGCCAGTGGAGCCAAAATTCAAACCCTAGTTGGCCGTGTAGGATGACTTCCTCTGTATAGTGCCAGAAACTTACCCCACACCCTACACCCTTCTTTTGCTTAAGTTTATTTACTTATCTCTTCCATGGGAGAGAATCTCCCACAACAGGATCGTCTCACCCTGATCACCCACAGCCAACCCTGACACAGGCACATGCATCCTCTGCATGCATACAGGAAGTTCCCAGGACACGAACCTAGGACCTTCCCGTGTGAGTCCGCATCACAGAGTATTTGTTGTGCACTGTGCCACCTGTTGACCCAGTTCTTCCACTTCTGACATGAACGCTCTGATTAAGGAGTAGCTGTCACACACTGCGGTCTTCTTCCATGTTTACTGAGCACTTTGTCTTCCAAGGGCTTCAGTGTCATGTCTGTTTGGGCTGTTGAAGATTATTAGGGGGAGTTAGCATTATCCATCTTTAGCAGATAATGATAATAGGTGCTAGAATCTGCTAGCATTAGGGCTCATGTACAAATCTTTGAGTACCTTAGGTTTATGGCAATTCTGAGATTATTTTGTAATAGAATTACATTGTGTTCTTTGTAGTATTGTCACACATTGACTGTACTTTTCACATGTGCTAAGAGGAAGAAGAGCCAGAGGTTTTAAACTTTAGAGTCTTACATGCTCATTGGGAAGAGAAATTCATGGAAGGATGAGAACCTGTGACAGGAGTACCACAGGGCTGAGGTTGGTAGTTCTGAGAGTAGGAGCACGATGGGCAGCTTGAAGGGGTCTTGGTACTTTCCTCAGCCAGCCGTGTCTTCATCCAGCTGGTTCACATTTGAGTCCTCAGTTTGCTTGTTTATAAAGTTAGCTCATTGACTCTTTTTTTTTTTTTTTTGAGAGGATTTTTGCTATAGGGTGCGGTGCGTGCACTCACCAGAAAGACAAAGAGAGACAGAGAATCAGAAAGTGAGAAATCCCTCCCTGGGGCGGGGATGGCCATGCCGTAGTCCTTTCTCTTCCATTCTCCTCTTGGGATCTCGGGCACGCATGTACAAGCGCCTGGAGTGAGTTTAAGCCACTGGGTCCAGGACTCGAACCACAGTCGACAACATGGAAGTCCAGTGACATAGCCATTAGGCCAGCTGCTGGTCCCAGTTCATTGACTCTTACAGTGCTGTGAGAGTAAGTCTCATAATAGAGGTTATGCACTGATTAATTGATTCCTGTAGGCTTTTAAGTAGGATGCTTATATACAGTTCATTTAAAAATTCATGTGTTTTTATCTGCCTTATTTGCTTTATATTTAATAAAATCTCTGAAGGATCTGTTGGCTGAATATGCCTGTTATCACAAATTGAAAATCTAATTACATTCAATTTAATGGTACAAATTTCTAAGTTCAACAATATAGAAAATCATGTATGGTATAACGTTAATTAATCCTCTGGCCTAGAGGAAAACTTTCCCTCCCCTACCTTTAATAATATCAAAAAAAAAAAACAAAAACAACCTGTGCACCGAGCACAGATTCTAACCTTATTTCCAGAAGACAAAACAAAACAGTGTATCCTGGATGAAAAGGGATTAAAATTGTAGGCTTTCCTTTCCCTTCCCATCATTTATCACAATAACGCTGCTACTATATTGTCCAGAAAAGATTATTTGAAATATTTGCCTTGAAGGGAATAAGAAAATTTGATCAGCGAAAGCAGATAAAATTATGGTGGTGATGACAAAGCTATTCATTTCATGCTCGCTGTCTTTCTTAGAGATGTGATTCAGTTACAGCCAAATTATAATACGTCGATGTCTTCTAAAAACTGTGAAATTGGTTGGACCCACTTACTGGTCCTTCCAGGAAAAAACAAGGGGGGAATAAAGGAAGAAGAGCACAATTAGTTTTGAATTCAGTTCCTTTTGTTAGCCACATGTCGACTGTCGGGGGGTGGCCTGAGGACATCTCCGTGGCTCTCAGAATTGTGCTGTCGCTTGGCGCAGAGCTAATGTCCTCCTGCTTCGGCAGTTGAATTGCTGTGGAAAGCAGCCGTGCTTGATGCAATTTTAATCAATACCTTGTACTTATATGTGGCCCTGAAGCTGCTAGATCACCGTACTGCGCTCAGCATCCCTGACCCAAGAGTAAAGGACACAGTGTCTTGCTTGAGATGTGCTTTTGAAAGCTCTAATTGTCAAATTATATTTTAAAAGCACCGGGACGCTTGCTATGTGACATCTGTCACCTAGGACACATATTCTCCACGTTCAGCATAGTTGTGCGAATCAGCATTGGTTCTCTGTGGGCTGAATTTCCATATCCTACATATTCCGCGTGGAGGATCACGAGTGGGCTGTCCTGTAAGTGCTAACTGACCACCAGCCACATCAGTAGCTCCTTGAAGGTCATCAGGGATAATGGCTATGGATGAATGACTGGGAGTCTGCCCGCATCAGCGTCCTCCCTAGTGTGCTTTCTGACGCCCTTACAGGACTGATTGATTGGACTTTTCACCTTTCTTCATACCAGAACTGCTTCAGCATCGCTTTCTGCAGTGGGGATATTCTGGTTTAAATAGACTATATTTAAAATAGTGCTTGACTAATTTTTTTCTTAGGAAAAAATTTAAAAAGTACATTCTTGGTGTTTGAAATGAAATATATATCCTTTCCTGAGACATATTTATTTTGACCGTATCTCAAAGCAGTCACTACTCCCCTCATCCATAAAGCTAATTTTTCACCTGCCGGTTAGGACAGTAAGTACTGTGTTGTCAGAAAGTCATGACATGTTTTTATGTAGAAACAATACGTCATGACTTTTCCGGCAACCCAGTAATTTATTCTATTCAATACATATAATTAGTCAAATGCATATATTTTGCAGAGAAGAATATACCAGGACTTTTCTGACAGCCCAGTAGGTAGGAAGATGAGCCATCTTCATTTCCTTCCATGTGACATTCAAGCTTTTCAGACCATATTATGAGACAGATACCAATACAGAAGATGTCGACATCGTATGTGTTAGCAAAACTTTGGATTGGTAAAGCTGTGCTTACTAAAATAAATAAATATAACGTGTGATCCCCGACACTCGCTTAGGGTCCAAGTAAAACGCTATTTTAGCAAGGATAGCAGAAAACATCAAATTAATTCCACTTCAGTTCACATTTATTAAACTCCCACTGAGTATAAGGCTCTGAAGTTTAAAAAGATTCATCTTCTGTCTTCGAGGGGTTCAAAGGTTGGCAGGAGAGAGATTATGTGCATAACTGTGATATGGGAATTGATCAAATGCAGTGGGAACCCATAAATGGGAAGGAGGCTTGGTAATGCTGAGTGTGGTGAACACGGGCAGGAGGCAAGCAAGACTGACCTTGGTCTGATCCCCAAGGAGCACATGTGGAATGGAGGAGGTTTTTGAGGGGTACACCAGTGTGAGTAAAACCATGATAATATGAAAGCATTGTAGCTTCTTCTGGGAATTAGAATAATCTTTTGTGATTATTTGGAGGAGATCCTTAAAGAAAATCCCCACGTGAAGGAGAACCATTCATTGTATGTCTATCAAGTGCCTGAACTACCTGCTTCATGTAATGATTCTTCCTTCACACGGTACTGATAACATTTTGACTGCTCTTTGAGTCTGGCAGATGTGGCCTCTGGAATCTCCCTGTAAGATCTGTGTTTCCCTTCATGATTGTAGAGGCATTCCCTTCTGAACAATACCTCTTTGAATGTCCGCCTCCATATTGTGTATTGAGGGTTGAAAAAGAAGGAGGGAGGACTTCGCTTCTCAGATAAAACCTGCTGGGATCTGGCCTGGGTGGAGGTCTAAGGTGAATTATTCTGTGTGCACTACAATTTTTGCCACAGAAAAAGAAATAATGAGGCACCTGTTCCCTCATTTTCTGGTAGGACTGCCTGGGATATTTCCTGCCAAAACTCTGCTACAACTGAGCCCAAGCCCCTCTGACCCTCCCTGGTCGCATCACCATGGGAGCGATGCCAGCTTTAGAGAGCAGAAGGACAGAACTGCCACAGGCCTCACAGGAGGAGAGGGCTGCAGACACGGCTGCTGCCACCTGCATTCGCCAAGAAATAAAGAGCCACTGAAACCCTGAGCCAAGTTTTCTTTTGTTCTGAGATTTCTGACTCATTGCAATTAAAATCACCAAAGTAATGTTTTGTCCAGAAGGTGTCAGGTCTTAAAAATAAGAAAGTGCACAGAGGCCAGGACAGGGCTGGAAAGGTAGGTAAAAAGCAAGGTTATGTAGGACCTTGTATGTCCTGATAAGAACTTAATACCAAAAGCAGTGAGCAGCTACTAAGGATCGATCGATTGATAGATCTATCTGTCTATCTATCTATCTATCTATCTATCTATCTATCTCTATCTATCTATCTATCTATCTATCTATCTATCTATCTCTATCTATCTATCTATCTATCTATCTATCTATCTATCTATCTATTCTGAGCAGGTGTTGGGATGATTTACATTTGGGGAAAATAGCTAGCAAATATGAGAGGAGAAGCAAAGGTGAAGGTGAGATACAATGGCAAGATGAAAAAATAGGGATTGTTGGGGAATTTCTAGATGCAAAACAGATTGCGGGGACTGGGAATAAGGAAGAAGTATGTGTTAGGGACATCTAGGGCTTTCCCTTCTTGCTTTATCTGGGCACTTGAAAGGCTAACAGTTTTTTACTCCTTTTTCAGGTGAGCCCACATGACTAGTTCTGGCCAATGTATTGTGAGCAGAAGTAAAGTCTGACTTCCACACTGAAGCATTTGATTGTCATTGGGAGACCTACCAGCATTGTCTTACTCTTATAGAGCAGCAGAGGTAGCTATGTGTTTCCAATGTACAGTTACAGATTAGAATCAGCTGAGTCACTGCCTGAGGGATAGCTGACCTACAGAGACATTCAGATGTACAGTAATCACTTTTTGTTGTATTAAGTCACTAAGATTGGGGCATGTTTGTTACTGCAGCATGTCTTAGACTTGCCTGACTAATACATGACAGTAGTTTGTAGCATAAATGTGTAGCATAAACTTGTAGGTGGACCATGAAAGATAAGAAACAGGCTCTGCTTATTGTGTTCCATTATATATTTAATAGGTACCATATAAAACAAAACTTAAACCATGCTGGGTTAGAATTAAGTAGATTTCTTTGTAGATTTTCTCAGCGTGCTGAATTGTGACACCCCAAGCTGAAGGATCATATACTTCACTTACTGTACATGTCTGCCTATGAAATTCATTTCCCTCTCCTTTTTGGTAAATGTGCTTATTTACATTTTGAGAAATGCAGGGAAATTGTAAATTACATGATATTAATGGCCTAAGCATGAAATTAATTGCATAAACCAAGATAAATTGGGCATCTAGAAAATAAGGATGGATTTGAGGGAAAAAATTGAAAAGAATTGATAAGAAGACGGAAAGAATATTTAAACGGAAGATTAAATTGTTTCAGTAACCAACTCCTTTGTAATTGACTCCCTACCAGTGTCCATGGTGCCTTTTCAGACCTTTTTTCCTTTCCTCAAACTATGAGTCTTACTTCTGCCTGTCTTTGTGCTGGTAGAGGACCATGCCTTCTCACCTTACTGAATCTGTGTCCAGCATGAGCTCCTCTCCAGTCCACCTCGGGCCTCTGTAACACCATCCCTTTTAGGCCCTGCTGTCTCAGATGGAACATGTTCTGCCAGAAATCTTGCATCTGTTCTTAATAGTCACCTTCTTCCCTGGCCTGTAGGTGTGCTAAGATGTTGCCATGGGGTAGAACAACATACTCCTCCTCCTAGGCTGCATCGCCCCTTCAAGCTACTGGATGTGCTATTGCTCTGGTTGGTAACCCCTCCCTCCCTTATTTCCTTCCTTACAAAACATGCAGTGAATGCCTCTGAGCCAAGAACTCGTCTGAGTGTCAGGGACAAAGAAGGTAGGCCTCTTCCCTCACGTTGTCTAGCGGGAGTCCTGTCCGAATGCACAAGGCACTGCAGTGGAGGGCAATGTTGTCATCATAACACAGGGCATCACGGGCCACCAAGCCTAGGCTGGACCACCAGAGGATGCTTCCCCCCAGGGCAGGAAGCTGAACCTGACAGAAGTCAGCCAGCAGAGGGCTAGAGAGAGAGCCAGCAAGTGCCCAGGAGAGTGGTAATGGCGTGCCTTCAGATACCGGGTTGTCTCCAGCCATGACTTCGACTTCAGTGCTGTGCAGGGCAACGCTCCCCAGAGGCCACCAGTGACTTTTAGAGCCAAATCGCCATTTTGAAAATGTGTTTGTCCTTCATGTCCTCATTGCACTGTTGCTGCTCATTGTACGGCCCATGAACTGTTTCATCCCAACTGAAGACTCCTTCCTTCTGGTTCTCTTTCTGATTTTCTCATCAGACTCTTTTCTTCTCCATAAATAATGGTGTTTATTCTCCCATAAATGTTGGTGTTCCCCAGACTTTCAGACCTTGCTTTCTACTCCATTAACAACTCAGTCCACACATCGTCAGCCTCATCTCCTGAATTATTCCGTGTGATTTGCTCTGATGTGTTCACCTCTTTACTATGCTTACCTATACCACATGCTTTGCCTGTATCTGAATTTATATTCGTTCTAAACAGTCAATTATTGGAGCTGTAATGGACACAGTAGCTATTCCATGCCCATGCATCATTTCCAAGCTAATGGGTTTTGACAGTGCCAGGTGGACACAGTTGGACAGGGCTACGACCTCACTGTGTCGATACCTATGAACAGCTGGGGAACAAATTTGCTTTTACTTTCTGGAGCTACATTGGTCAGTTAATAAGATTCTGTTACGTAGGTTTCCTGGAAGCCGAGTATGTTCTTGTCTTATCCCATTACTTCATGAAGGATTCTTTTTTTTTTTTTCTGGTGAATTGCCATATGATGAGTTAACACCTCCATTTGTCTTATTAGCTTTGCCAAAGCAATGAAGCAGCATTCTGACCCCGAGATACCTTTTGGGGTGCTATTGGTAGAGAGTCAACTGCACTTGTATGATGCTTCGATTTCTGCCAACACCCCTGTGGTGATCGTTGATGCTGCTCACCAGTGACTTCCAATTCCACACCTCCTGGGAGCATTGCTATTTTCCTTCCCATCCTCCTGCTCAGCCACTGGTGACCCTCTGGATTGTGCAGATCCTGTCCTTCCTGAGGAGATGCAGAGCCAACCTGAAACAGACAAGCAGAATGAGTTTAAACAAACGTGTTACTGTACGATAACACAGCCCAGCCTTACTGATGTGCCAGTACGTTTGTCAGTACTTGGAAAATTAAAGTTAATGGTTGCTTGGAAAATGAAGATTCTAAATTTTCTTACTATTCCCCCCCCCCCAGTTAATGGTTGCTTGGAAAATGAAGATTCTAGGTTTTCTTACTATTCCCCCCCACAAAATAATTCTCTGTTATTAAAGGAATAAATATAGGGTGTGAAAGAGTGATGAGAGGGGTACCTAACCCTGAATTTGGGTTTGAGGGAAGTTCTAGTTTCTTCTGTTGCTAATAATAGAAACACCTGAGTTTGAGTAATTTATAAAAACAGAGGTTTAGAGGCCTAAGATCCAGAGCCATATGGGGAGTCCAGTGCCTCAACCACCACGCCACCTGCTGGCCCTAGCAACTGGTGCCATTTTACATCTTGTAATATTGTTAGAGGAAAATAGCTTTCAGATTATCACAGTCTTACTATGTTCAATTTTTATCAGTTCTTTCCTATTTTTGAGTACAGCATAGAAACAATATAACTGATGTAAGTGTATAACTGATGTTCAGTAGGCTCCCTGAAGAAATACCAGTGATTTTTATTGCATTCAACTTTTCAGGTTTTTTAGTGATTCTGTTGTACAGTCCTTGTGAAGTAATGATGCGAGATTTAATAACTATTGGAGATTTCCTGTCTCACTCTTGTATTTGTTAATGTCCCCAGTTTGGGGAGCCTGGCACTTTGTAGGGGCTCAGTGGTTACATTTTACTTTTTAGTTTTTATCTTAAATCTTTATTTAAATGGTCTATTATAATTGAACATGTCACCTATGAATACTTTTCTACTGTAATTTGCTGGCTTGGGCTCATGTGGATTTTTCACCCAGGTAAATTGAACATTGCTAGGGGGAGATAACAGTTGCTAATGGAAGTGCAAAGCAGGAGATGGTGACCATTTTTATTATCATGAGACATTGCTAAGTGACAGCTAAGCCCTTCCTTCATCAGATAATCCTCTCAATTATGATGGGTTAGCCTGGATAAAGTGCCCTAAGTCAAAATGATGTAGGCATCATCAGAATTAGAAATCATCATCACAGGGATTGGATTTCTGAACCCAGTATGCCAAACTATTGTTATATAAATGACACAAATATATTGCTGGTAAAATAAAAAATAGAAACTCTTTTCCAAGATTTAGTATTTTTTTCCCTTGAGTGCCTTCCTGTCAATGGCTGCCCATGACTACATTCCTGAAAAGTTCTTTTGAGGGACTGATAACTTTAGATTACGTAAACTGTTCCCAAACTGGAAAGGAAAAGAGACAGATCCTAATTAATACAGATTGGCAATGGCATCCTGCTATGTCAATGGCGGTTGTATAATGTGGCCCACTCTGCCTCGCATGGTCCAGTCCCTCCTCCCTGTGCTTCAGCCACACTCGTCCTTTCACATCTCCTCCAACCTGTCCTGCTCCTTCTCCTCTAGGCCAGTTGTACTCTGGCTAATCTGTGGAGGACGGCTTTCCCCCACTCTCCCCTGGCTATCTCCTGCTTAGCCTAGATTTCAACTCACATAGCCCTTCTTTGAAGAGGCCATTCCTGAACCGTAGGGTAAATGAAAAAGGTAGCAAATAAAAAACAACATCACATCTTAAGGAACCGCAAGAGCAATAACCAAAACACCTCAAAAATAAAAGAAATAGTAAAGATAGCGCTTAAATATATGAAGTAGAGAATAAAAACCTATTTAAAAAATGAAGTGAAAAACTGTTTTTTTAGAGGATAAGCAAAATTGATAAACCAGTAGCTAGACTAATCAAGAAAAACAGAGAAAGGAACCAGCTAGATAAAATCAGTAATGACGCTGATAC